TGTAGCATTGGGCAGTTTGGCTGCGAAGGAACTCTTTCAAGTGCTGAGGAGCAAGGATTTCTCCTTGAGAACTAAGGTGCGTCTGACACAAGCCATGATATTTTCAATCACCTTGTATGCATGTGAGAGCTGGACAATGAATAAGGAAGACCAAAGATGAGTTGATGCTTTTGAGTTGTGTTGCTGGTGAAGAATGCTGAAGGTACCATGGACTGCCAAAAGAACTAACAGATATGTCCTGGAGGAAGTGCATCCAAATGCTCCTTGGAAGCAAGAATGGCCAGACTTCATCTCATCTACTTTGGTCATGTTGTCAGAGGGGACCATTCCCTGGAGAAGGATGTCATGCTTGGTAAAGTGGAGAGTCAACAAAGGAGGGGAAGGCCTTCAACGAGATGGATTGACACAGTGGCTGCAATGATGGGCCCAAGTATATCAAGGATCATAGAGCTGGCACAGGATCAGGTGGTGTTTCATTCTGCTGTGCATGGGGTTTCTATGAGTCGGAAGTGACTCGACGGCATCTAACAACAACATTATGTGTGTGTATATATATATTACTAGGAGCTCTGGTGGCATAGTGCCTAAGGGACTTGACTGCTTACCAGAAGGTTGGCAGTTCAAACCTGAACATTGGGCAATCTACTTCCATAGTGATACTGCCTTGGAAACCCAAGGAGGGGTAGCTATGAGTCATGTCCAACTCCACGGCACATAACAACAACAACAACATATATAACAAAACATTTACCATTCTAATATTTTTTATATATATAATTCAATAACATTGATTACATACACTATGTTGTGCAACTATTACCACTTCATTTCTGAATGAATAGTGAATGAATAGTGAAACTCAATACCCCTTTAACAATAACTTTTTATTTCTGACACCCACCACTCTTGATAATTAGTAATAAATTTTAGTCTCTAGGTGTTTCTCTATTTTATATATGTCCATAAGTGAAATTTTTTAATTTTCACTTTTATATCTGACTTTTTCATTCTGTATAATATATTTCATAGTTCATCTACCTTGTAGCATATATCAGAATTTCATTCCTCTTTGTAGTTGAATAATATCTAACTTTCTGTGTATATATACGTGTGTGTGTGTGTACATATATATATATATATGTACACACACAATGGGATATTATTATATATATTATATGATAGACTCTTGGGTTGTTTTCACATTTTTACTATTGTAAATAATGCAATTGTGAATAACGCTGCAATGGACATTAGCAAAAAATATCTGTTTGAGTCCCAATTTTCAAGTCTTTGTGGTGCATATATATCTAGAAATAGAATCACTGGATCATATGGTTATTCTCTATTGAAGTTGTTGAAAAACTGCCAAAATGATTTCCATAGCAGCAGAATAATTTTACCTTCCCCAATCCTACCAACAACGGATAAATTTTCCAATTTGTCCAAAGCCTCTCTAACACTTACTGTTTTCTTATAATAGTCATTCTAATGGGATGAAGGGACATCTCATTTTGGTTTTGATTTGCATTTCCCTAATTATTAAGGATATTGAGAACATTTTCATATAATCTATGGCCATTCATATATCATCTTTGGCAAAATGTCAAATCAGGTCCTTTGCCCAAGTTTTGATTAGGCTGTTTATGTTTCATAATTGAGTTGTAAGAGTTCTTTACACATTCTGAATGTTAAACCCTTTTCAGATACATGACTCCAAATACTTTCTCCCATTCTGCATGTTGTCTCTTTGTTGATAATGTCCTCTAATGCACAAAAGTTTTTTAATTTGTTGAAGTCTATGCTTCCATCTTCCAGGAAGTCTTTTGTTGCTCGTGCATTTTAGTGTCATATCTAACAATCCATTATAAAAAAGTAGATCCTGAAGGATACCCCAATAGTTATTTCTAAGAGTTTTATAGTTTTAGTTCTTACATTTAGTTTCTTGACCCATTTTAGCTGACTCATGTGTATGGGATAAGATATTGCCCCAAGTTCATTTTGTTGCATGTTGTGATTCAATTGTCCCAGCACCCTTTTTTGAAGAAAATGTTCTTTTACCCTTTGAACAGATTTAGCATACTTGTTGAAAATCAATTGGTCATGAATAACTAGGTTTATTTCTGGATTTCCACTCTAATCCATTTGGCTACATATTATCATTATCATTATCATACTATCATACTCTTTTGATTACCATAGTTTCATACAATGTTTTGAAATCAAGAAATGTAATTTCTCCTGCTTTGTTCTTCTCTTTTGCAATTGCATTGCCTATATAGGCTCTTTGTAATTGCACATAAATTTGAGGATTGTTTTTTATTTTTTATTTCTGCAAGGGAGACTGTTGGAATTATGGTAGTTTATTTCACTTTTTTTTTAACTTTTTATTATGATTTGGGTGAAATTTTACATTTACATGCTGGATTTTTTTTTATAATAAAATGATGTTAGATTTTGTTAAATGCCGTTTCTGCACTGACAGCTGATCATGCAGTTCTTTTTCTTTGTACAGTTAATGTGGTATGTTACACTGATTTACTTTTTTAATTTCACAATATATAATGTGTTCTTTTCACATTCACCTGTTTTTCTGTTTGTCCTTCATGAAATATTAGATTTTAAAATCAGAACTATTTGCACTCATGAATCTAAGCATAGTGGGTATAATTAAGAATATATCATTTGAAGAGAATTTATAATCGTTGACTATTTTTTTTTTTTGTTTCTTAAGCTAAATGCATAATTTTGTTCTTAATTTTATATTTATCTTACTATTACCAGCTTCCTGGACCACAGCATGTGAATTCACTTGGATAAAGAGGACATTCTCCTATTATGGATAATATTGGAAAGAATGGGAATTCCAGAACACTTAATTGTTATTTTGAGGAATCCGTACATAGACCAAGAGGCAGTCATTCAGACAGAATAAGGAGAGAGTGCATGGTTTAAAAATCAGGAAATGTGTGTATCAGGGATGTATCCTTTCACCATATTTATTCAGTGTGTATGCTGAGCAAATAATCCAAGAAACTAGACTATTTGAAGAAAGATGAAACAAGGGGATTGGAGGGACATAGATTAATATCCTGGAATATGCAGATGACACAACCTTATTTGCTGAAAGTGGAAAAGACTTGAAGCAATTACTGATGAAGATGGGACACAATAGCCTTTAGTATGAATTGCGCTTCAACAGAAAAGACAACAAAAATCCTCACAATGGACCAATAAGCAACATCATGATAAAAGGAGAAAAGATTAAAGTTGTCAAGGATGTCATTTCACTTGTAATCTACAATCAACGGCCATGGAAGCAGCAGTCAAGAAATTAAATGGCATATTGCATTGGTCAAACCTACTGCAAAAGACCTATTTATTATGTTAAAAAGCAAAGATGTCATTTTGAAAGCTAACTATGTCAGTAGGATCTCTTAGCATTTCATGGATATTTTATTTAACAATATAATGAAAAAATAAAACAATGTACTTCATTGGGAAAATCTGTTTCAGAAGACCTCTTTAAAGTATTAAAATCAAAGACGGCCCTTTGAGAAATAAGGTGCTCCTGACACAAGCCATGAAATTTTTGATCATCTCATATGCATGCGAAGATGAATAAGACCGAAGAAGAATTGATGCATTTGAATTATGGTGTTGGTGAAGACTATTGAATGTACCATAGACTGCCAGAAGAATGAATAAATCTATCTTGGACAAAATACATTCACAATGCTTCTTAGAATTGAGAATGGTGAGACTTCATCTTTTGTATTTTGGTTATATTATGAGAAAGGATTGGTCCCTTGAGAAGGATATCATGCTTCGTAAAGTAGAGGGTCAGTGAAAAAGAGGAAGACCCTCAACGAGATGGATTGGCATAGGGGCTGCAATTGTGGGTTCAAATATGGCAAAATTTGTGAGGATTGTACAGGACTGTGCAAAATTTCCTTCTATTGTACTCAGTGTCACTATGAATTGGAAATGACTCAACAGCACCAAACAAGAGAAACCAAAAATATTAGTATTAATCTGGACTCACTGTGAATCAAGGTGTGGAAATTACAATACTGTACTTTGGTTGTGATATAACAATCTTGACTTTCCTGAAAAAGCAAAGGTCTACAATTATGACTTATCTGAACCTGTTATATTTCTAAAGTGTTTAAAGAGATAAAGTCCAGGTTAGATCAACAATGTTTTCTCCACACAGAATATTTTCTTAAAATAGAAACAAGTACTTTGTTCCTCTTATGACACATTCTCATTCATTGATAATTTCACCAGAACATAAAATAGCCATGTGATGCCTTGTTTAAGTGGACTTGACATCCAGTTAAATCAATATTGTCTTATATTGCTTAACTTCACATATATAATGAAAGTTACAAAAGTTTAGAATATTTAAACTATATATATATATATATATATATATGTATATATACACAAAGAGAGATGCACATATTAATATATGCTGTACTTATATACATCAGTCCAAAAAGTTATTTTTCATGTGTTTACACTCACATAGTGCAAGAGAAATGTTTTAAAAATAACTTGAATCAGGTGAAATATTATCTGTAATGAACTCTCTCTACAAATAAATATCAAGTGCATTTATCTAATGACTAATTTGTCTACAATTAGTTTTATAGTATTCCTAATAGTTCTCAGAATGATAAAATGTCATTTTGTTTACATCATTCATTTAATTTCATTCACTCTGACAAACGGCTTGTTCAGGTGATTCAAATTTACAACTCTATGCATCTCTTTCCTCATTTATATCTTCTTAAAGATTAACTGCCTACTTAAAGCTTCTTAACATATAGAGAATAACGTTTCTAGGACATACACATCTTGTTCACACAGACTAGTGTGAATATAAATATTGGTGTTTTACACATGTTTTAAGAGCCTGAGAAATTTTGCTCTCCAACTGATGAAGACTTCTGTCTTCCCACATAGTTCTTCAGTTTGCAAGACTTCAAAAATCAAAAATGAAGTTGAAAAGAAATGTGTCTTCTAAGTGCCATTCTCTCAGCTGCTATGAAGTAATGTTTGCAGCTCTCTTTGCCATATTGATGGTGCTCTGTGCTGGATTAATTGTGATATCCTGGCTGACAATCAAGGGATCTGAACAAGGTAAGTTACATGAAGTAGGCTACCTAAAACATGCTCATTCAGATGTGCACACTTTAATCCCACTTATGTTCTCTGTGTATTTTATTCATTGCTGTGTTTTCATGACCAGAAAATGGTGTTCATACTGATTGCTCCCTGTCATTTACTTTATAGAATATTATAAAAATTAGTTGCCATATAATTTAAACATTAAATAAGAGTTTAAATAAGAGTTTTGAAAATGAAAATGTAAAATTAGTTAGTCATTTGCAACATATAGCAAAACAGGTTTCATAACCCAGGGGTTCATTCTGATAGAATTTTAAGTCCTAAATGTTGTAAATGTTTGTTGATTTGTTGACTCTACAAATCGATAAATATGTGAAAATAAAGAAAAATTCAATTATAGTTTATTTCTAGATACTGAACTTTTTTTTTTTCTATTAGGTCAATAATTTTAATTGCAATAATTTAAAGATATTTGAATTGAAGGAGACCTATAAAGATTTCAAGGAGCTCTGGTGGTGTAATGCCTAAGGCATTTGACTGCTAATAGGAAGACTGGCAGTTCAAACCCACCAGACACTCCTTGGAAGGAAGGTTAGGCAGTCTACTTCCATAGTGATACCACCTCAGGAAGCCAAGGAGGGGTCTCTATGAGTCCTATCTGACTCCATGGCAGTCCATAGTATTAGTAGTAGTAGCAGTAGTAGTATAAAGATTTCATGGTGACTTGCAACTTGTGATAAACAAAAAAAAAAAAAAAAAAGGAGAGAACATTATTATTTAGAACTAGCTTTTTCTGCACCAGCAGCTGCTCAAATATTTTTCCTTGCTACAGGAAATGTATGAGTTAGTTGATATTGTAATCCTTATTTTATTGGTGAAGAATATAAGACACAGAATATAAGAATAAATATAAGAATTTAAACAATTTACTTATATTTGTATCATTAGCAGGAAGCAGAAATCAGATTCTAAACTAGACAATCCAAATCTAGAACTGTGCTCTTATATGACACCTGTTTTAGGATTAAAATTTTTAAAAAATGGAAGTACAGTAATAATCTGAGTACCAATGTTTATTTATTTAGATTTTTTTTTAACTTTTTATTGTGATTTTGGTGAAGGTTTGCAGAGAAAATCAGTTTTACATTCAACAATTCAAACATATTTTGTTTCATGTCATTAATTGTAATCCCCACAATATAACATCACTCATCCCACTTCCTCCCTGTGTTTGCCGTTTCCATTCCTCCTTCTTTCCTAACTCTTCCTGTGTTCTGAACTTTGTCCATGGCCAAATGTTGCCCTCTAAATCATGAATGATAGATTGCTCCAAGGAGTGAGTACCTTCCTGGTGTTATTGTTTACCTTATAGACATGTCTATCATGTAGTTGAAAATTAAGTCTTACGTTTAGTTACAGGCCTTAAGGGTGACTATAGGCCATAGTATCAGGAGTTGCACCAGTCTCTGTTAGACCACTAAGCCTAGTCTTTTTTTATTTTGGATTTTGTTCCACATTTTTCTCCCACTCTACCAGGTCCTTCTAATGTGATTCCTTTCAGCAGTTGGTAGTGATGTGGTATAGGCACCATATGGTTCAAGTCTCAGGGTTGCAGAGGCTGAAATTCTCATGGTCCATTAGTCCTTCAAACTGTTTCCGTGCATCTTTGATTTTCTTCACTTGGAACATTTTTATGTTCTTTAAATCATTAATTACACAGAGGCATAATAATTCTTTCTAAAACTCACAGAGTAAGAACTTTTTCACATGAGTGACTTTGTTTTACTAAGAAAAATTTCAGCCTTAAAATTAACTGTTTTCTTTTGGAAATCATTAAGTGCAAATTAGAATATAATAAATATAAATAGAATGTAAATAAATAAAAAAGGAATATATTTTTA